GAGGCTGTACATGTCTCTGTTATTTGATATGTCGAGGATATTACATTTTCGATGGTAAATACGGATCTTATCTTTGAGTGTTGAACAGATCTCTCACAAGTGAGCTTAACGAAAAGTGAAAATATAGGTATTGCATAAATAATAATATGACAAAAAGTTATTTTAAAAAAGGTCGTCGGAGTAGTTCACTACAGTCCTCTCTTCTCCTCCGTTCCGATCCTCTACAAGACTCTACGGGAAAAACAGCCCAGATAAACTTGAATGCGCGCACATGTCATCTTAGTGACTTGGCGATAACTCCTCTATTAAAATGGCGATCGTGATGTTACAATTTATTTTTGCGCAATCATTAGGAAAACCGATGAAATATCATTGGCATCCGTGATTATTATCCGTCTATGCATAACGAAAATAATAATATTCTTTATCCCTTGCAATTTTACTCCGTCTTACYTTWRRWTTTKKTKRACYYYYCGCTGCAGTTTTTTTATCGTTAACATTCCACTGAACACTAAACTAAAAATTTGGATAAATTGTTATGATGAGTACAAATAAGTCTTRGCACAGACAAAAACTGGCTAAKTAATCAGACAAAAAGATCAATGGAATCAAGAAAAGTCGTTTATTCTGTAGCGGATTATAAGAGTTTCAAAACTAGTTATATCCCCATTGACATCATATTTTTTTTATATCAGATATCATCAAACCTTGTTTTTACCATGAAATACTTGACGTCTCCAATCGAATTCTCAACRCAGTATTTACTGGAGGACAAATMCCTGACTCGTCCAAACTCAGTCGCACAMACTGGTATAAATTTCCTGGAAAACGAATCCTTTCATTCTGCCCAACGTCAAGCTCTTGTGGGGCCCAGCCGCCGGGATGGCTTAACGGACAATATCCGTCGCGGGAAGATGGTATCAAACAGATGAGGTTATGCTACCGAGAGGACTCTGATTGTTGTTCCTTCAACGTCAGTGTGCTTGTAAGGCAATGCTATGGGTATTACGTGTTCATGTTTAATGACGTTCTACCTGAAGGTCGTTTTTGTACTGAACCAGGTAAGTATGATRATCAAGCATTGAAGGGGAATGTTGTTAATKTGTTGAATGTYCAGATGCTAGCTTTAATTTTTAAAGGTAKCTGGCTTGTTTCCCTCAATTTACCAATCTATGACTACCTTTTACAACTGCGTTGCTTTCTGCTAATATCAGTAAGGAGATCTGTCGAGTATTCTTAGGGAGTACCAGGGGAGGTACTGAGAGTGTTTACTATAATAGAACATTGCCTTCATTAATCTCAATCTGTGAATGGCTCACTTCCCTCTCTAGCAAATATATATCTCTGACTTGCATGTGTCTGATTCTTAGTCAAATTTCACTATATATAAAGAAACCAATGGAATCGATTTTATTGAAATTGATCGGCTTTCCTTCGAAAATGGAGTTGGAGCTGAWTTGTCAATCATAAATCGAGTTAATTTAATAGTTGGTCTTTCAATTAACAGATCCAATTGTCTTTGATGACGTTATGTTCATGTCCACCAATGATAGATGCCTTACTGATCACGTGTTTCACACGGTGGATAGTGTTGCAGAGCCATCCAAATGCGTTAGTTATTGCTTGAATTCTGGAAGCAGGTGCAAGTCTGTTAACTATATCAACGAGGGGAGCGGCAAGTGCCAGCTTAACAACGCCACAAAGGCTGAAGGWCACCTTCGAGAGGATTCCAAGTGTTCATATTACGACATTATTTGATAAATTKTAAAGTAGCGAGAGAAATTTTATGCACACCGTAGCATGTTATGGGATTCAAGGATAAGCCAGCAATATTTATTCATTCAAACTTAGTAATTTTATATTATAATCTTAAAGAGATTTTACTGGTGTAGTTATAATAATATGATGACATTGTACTTGGTGGACAATGAAAGTCACGCATATGTACTCATGGATAGCTTTAGTATAGTATCAAAACTGCATGAAAATTAATATTTTACATAAATATACTGCGGTGCTGTAGGTGCACATATTATACAGCCTTGTCTCTACCTCCTCAATTGGCGGATAGCATGAATCATTTTTTGGTCTCCAGTAAAAGGACGATTTCACGATTTAGTCAGAACTGGCCACCCATACTGGTCTCCATAGAAGTCGAGTCRAAGTTTTTTTCGTATAAGAGATGTAAATACATGTAATCTAGAAATGGAATTTTTTGGCTGAGAGAAGAGGAATGATTTCTGGTAGTAATCAATTTTTTTGGCTCTGCCCAGCCCTGTCTGATAAATACCATCTAAATTAACACTTTAGCCCGAAAAGTGTCAAGGGTTTTGTCCAAGATTGAAGATTAAACTATATATATRCTTTATAAGCGCATTAATATTTCATTATGTACATATTAGTCCAATGAGGGATTTGGTCAGTCCATTGTTAAGTATGTTCAGGCAATTGGCYCTCTATGATAGGTCGCCACCTGTGAGACCATTCAACACTATTGCAGTAACGAAAACAAAATCGCATCAGAGACCTTTAATTTGCTAGGTTCGAATCAAATAAAGAATCTATGTATTGATTATAAGAAAGATGGCGTGCTCTCCATGTGAGAGAGATTAATTTTCACAATTTTCACTATTGCAGTAAATTGCGATGGCTTAATTACGACTGAACTCGATAGAGAACTTATTTGACAATTGCTGTCTTGTATTTCATGTTATTTGACAATTGTTGTCATAAATTTCATGTTTATTCATGTTGTAGTTTTGCAGCATTCGCGTCGATATTGCATGGGAATTATAATTTTAAACCGCACAACAACATAATGCGATCGATGTCTGCAGGTCTTTCCTATAATTTGCCCAAAAAAAAAAAGATTTAAAGAGCTACTTGGACGAAAATTGCGAATCATTAGAAAAGACTTGGAAATCAAATAGACCTATCCATATGGGTCTAATAATCATGAAGCAACAGATTTCAAGAAATATTGAAACAAATCCTTAATAATTTGGGCAAAAAATGTTGGAGTAGATAACGTCATTTACTCCATCCTTTTGTTCTTCCATCTTTTGAATCAAAATTTCTCTGATGAGGGATAATTCCAAAACAAATATTTTCCCGCAGTTGTTTTCAATAGATATAAATGACTTATATATTTGTATTGCTTGAAGTTTAAATAAGACCATTTTCATGCAAGTAGCACTTTAATTTATTCAGTCAATTGTTTATTATATCTTAACTCTGTCTATGAAAAGATTTAAAGGATTGAACATATTAAGCATTAAATTAAAACAATTAACTCACGGTAAAACAATTGTACACTCTCCTCGCAGTGCATCACGATTACAAGACCTAAATACCACTACATATATAATATAGATCGATTGTTATTTAAACAAATATTTCAATAAAATATATAAGCAGCTATCGTATGTAAAGCTATCTGCATTAAATAATGCTTTTTATGATATACTAGAGGAACCTTAGTGTAGATAAAAATACGTGGTATGAAAGAGGTGAATTCTCACTGATATTGTTGAACTTTATAGTGAATGGCTCATCGCAAGTATTTGCAACAAGCCGGTCTCATTCTYATTCTCTCTTCTAAAAAAAACAAAAAACAAAAACAAAACAAAACAAGGTACACCCTAACTCTAGTAGCCGTGTTATGTTGTGCTGTGAGGTTGTTTTCGCTTTTTTTTTTCTTTTTAATGAGCTGCTTTCCCTTACTTTTGTAATTTATTATGCTCATTAATTTTTTATTCCGTATCTCCAAGTGAATCTTTTCATTTTTGACTTCTGGCTTTCGCGTGCATGTACCCTTCCTCTAAGTTACGTTAGTGTAACAAAATAAAGTCGTATATATATATATAACTGTTATAGCTATACCATTAATCAATTTCTAAAATTTTTCCTTTTCAATTCCCTTGCATAAGTGACAAAAAATAAATACATCAATAATACTTCAATTTTTAAATGGAATATTAATATTTCATGTTGGACTCTTCTCTCTTCGAACTATCAGCGCAATTTAAATGAGTTACTGATAACCTAGTGTGTTTTTGAATAGCGGGGTATATTGTTTGATTTATTGCTTTTCAGAAAGCCAATAGTCATAGGATTGCTCTGTTATGATAACTATAATGAGAATCCCATCTCATGTTCAAAACTGTATCGTCATTGACTTTACTGTGTTCTCTTTCATAATGGCTTCATACCTTCTACAGTCAATTTCCATGTTGGTTTGGTGCAAGGTAAAACTATAAGATCTTTATAAAGTTAATTCTTCATTCGGTGTTTTCCCTATATAGTTGCTTATAGTTTATATAAGGAATTTCCGGCGATTTTACATCCCACATCCCTTAACAAGGGTTGCTAAGGTAAAACATAATATCTAAGTCAATCCTTCTTTCAGTGTCAGTTTCCCCTTTCTAATAATGTTAACCTCAATCAACTCGTTTTTTGCCGGTAACACAAAGTTAGAGATAGAGAATTCAATTTGGCTGAAACTCTCTCTTTCTTTTGTTTGCTTGTTTACTTATTAAACTGAATTTAAAAACCCGCAATGGCGACACAACTACTGATCGAAGATTGTTTAGTATAGTCTGTAGGACATATGTGTGCTACTCAAACTTAGTAGATAAAATCTGTATTTACAGTGTAAATAACATTTTTCAAAAAAAAAAAAAACACCGATTCTTGATCCACAGATGGCGGGTTAAAATCTTAGGAAAACTTTCTTTGATTTCTTTCTTTGAGAAAAATAAATAAATAAAATTTGATTATAATAGTACATGGAGCACAGTTTAGTGAAAATAGTGAAAAAAATGATTTCATGAATTTTAATAAAGAGTTTCAAAGTTGGCCTTCAGTTCTTGTAGAGCTCGATTGTTTTTATATGGTAGCAAAGACTTCTGCTTCTAGTAAGTACTTCTAGTAAGTAGAGAGTGTATCCACTGGATGTGGTCGTGGGCGCTTTGATCTCGATGTCAATTTTGT